AGTCGCCCTAAGCTTCTCGATAAGGGGCTTACTGTTCAGGACGTCGCTTCCAAGATCAAGGCCGCCTATCCCAAGGATATCGCTGTTCTGTTCAGTGATAACAACGCAGACGAGCAGGTTATTCGTATCCGCCAGATCCAGGATTACAAGGAAGACGAGGAAGATGAAGACATCGAATACGATGTCACGCTCAAGAAACTTGAGCAGCATCTTCTGGACACCCTAACCCTACGTGGTGTTCCTGGAGTGGAGCGAGCGTTCATTAATGAGAAGAGCAAGGTTCGCGTCCTGGAAGACGGTTCGCTCTTTGCTAGCAAGTCCGATCCGCTCTGCAAGGAATGGGTTCTCGAAACCAGCGGTTCGTCACTTGGTGAGGTCCTGGCAATCCCTGGTGTCGACGCCTCTCGCACATATTCCAATCAGTTCATTGAGGTCTTCGAAGTGTTTGGTATCGAGGCCGCTCGTACTGCTGTGCTTCGCGAATTGACCCAGGTGCTGGCGTTCGACGGTTCTTATGTCAACCACCGTCACTTGGCGCTGTTGGTTGATGTGATGACTGTCCGTGGCTATTTGACTCCGGTCACCCGTCACGGTATCAACCGCGCTGACAATGGTGCTCTGATGCGTTGTTCGTTCGAAGAGACTGTGGAAATTCTGTTGGAGGCTGCCGCTTTCGGTGAGCTTGATGACTGCCGTGGTGTGTCGGAGAACTTGATTCTGGGACAGATGGCACCTGCTGGTACTGGAGAGTTCGACATCTACCTCGACCAGAACCTTTTGAACACCGTGGTGTCGGACAATGCCCGCCACGGCGTGATGGGAGCCGTTGGTGCCAAGGATGCGATCTTCTCGGATGGCGCTGCTACGCAGTATGACACTGGTTCGCCCATGCAGGCCAGTGCCTACATTGGCTCGCCCGATCCGGAATCGAACTTCTCCCCAATTCGTCAGGCAGGCGCCGAGACCCCGGGTGGTTTCACTGAATACCAGCCCAGCGGCGGCTTTGGAGGTGGTTTCAGCCCGGCGGCCACGAGCCCAGCTGGTTATTCCCCCAGCAGTCCGTTCAGCGCGAACCCGACTTCACCTGGATATTCTCCTACGTCGAGCTACTCGCCTACCTCTCCAGGTATGGCTATGACCAGCCCTCGCTTCATGACATCTCCTGGATTCTCCCCCGCCAGTCCTTCATTCGCCCCAACTTCGCCAGCCTACTCTCCTACGTCGCCGGCGTATGGGCAAGCCTCTCCTACGTCGCCTTCTTATTCGCCCACCTCGCCTGGGTTCTCACCGACGTCCCCGAACTACAGTCCTACATCCCCCAGCTTCAGTCCAGCGTCGCCGGCGTTCAGTCCTACCTCTCCAAGCTACAGCCCGACCAGTCCTGCCGTTGGTGGTGCCCGACACCTGTCACCTACCTCACCCACCTCTCCCAAGTACACGCCGACATCGCCTGGATGGTCTCCTACGAGTCCTCAGACGTACTCTCCAACGTCTCCCAACTTTGCCGGCTCGCCGACGTCTCCTGGTGGGCCTACATCCCCAGGCTACAGCCCGACGTCGCCGGCTTTCAGCCCTACGTAAGTGTCTCTCCCCTCAGACAGGGTACAACAAGATACTAATCTGCATGCAGGTCTCCACGCCAGTAAAGTCCGAGCTTTCGTGATGTGTCTCCTTACGACTTTCGCTGTATCATTGTATTATCACCTCATCCTGACAAGTTGGAAAGGGAGAAAAGAAACGAAAAAAAACATCTTGCATTGTATGTTGCGGAATTGGTTGGTTATATCATGCCGAAATTTGGGCGTTTGCAGCCTGCTTCTCTTTCCCATTCCCATTCTAAATGTATGTTCTTTTTCTTTTCTTCTTGCACCAGCCTGCAGGTTTATTACCCTTATTCAATACTAGTTTTCCTCCAAGCCAGTCTGCTGAAATTGCGAATGGGTTTCTTGGGCCTGGTTTCATGCTTCTTTTTGTCGTTTCCCTTTTTTTTTTTTTGTGTGCATTTGAAATACCAAGCGTTTAGACCAGACTATGCTCATGCATCATGACCTGATCATGAGGAATGAGTGGGTTTACCGAGAAATGTCCCTTTCGCGTGAAATTGCATGGAGGATATTTCTTTCGTTCCTTTCAATTGTTGCGTGTATTTGCTGCTCTTGCTGCGATCGATGGCCGGGGTTCTGCCCTGTACACAGACATACGAATGCGGACGGGCCCATTGATTTGCAAGAGCTTATGACCTAATAAAAAAGACCCAAAAAATGTGAAAATATCCCATCGACCCGACGCTAAGCTGGAGTAGAATATAGTGGCGGTAGATGAGTGAATATGTTGTAGATGTGGTGGGAGGAATAGTAGTAATAAGTGACTTAATACTGTCGGGGAAACGCCAGGTGGCCGCTTTCCTTTCCGCCTTGCCGTGCGCCGGAGATAGCGTGAGGAGAAACCCATCCAACATCATCATCATCACTGATTGCCGGTTATCCACCAGGAAGTGAGCTCAGAGTCGCCATGCGCCTCTCATTGCTCACCTCTACTAGAATCTCCCTGACAACATGAAGAACCGCTGGTTATGGCACATTCTGCCACTGGCGCTACGTGAGTGCCTCTGCTGCTCTCTATTCTTCGCGGGCGGAGCTGGACCCGAGCTCGACAATGACGGACGCGATAGCCATGGCCCCTGACTGACTTCTGTTGCCTTCCATATTTAGTGCTGCTGCTGCAGGCCTTCCTAGTCGAATGTAATGATCAAGTTGAAGATCTATCCTCCACGATAGATGCTGTACATGAATCCCAGACGCCATTCGTCCAGTCCTCAAGCCGGGCTGAGGATGCCGAAGTCCCACTGGGCCAAGGTGAGATTGATCTGTCATCTCATCCTCATCTCCATCCATTCTCTACCGCGATCAACACCCGTGTCTAACCACGTTTCTTTGGTCTAACCAGAACGCGTCGAACATGCCCTTCGAATCCTGCGAGACGCCAAACTCTCCGTCGTCGCTCCGGACACGAAACCCTCCGGCCTGGTGGGGTACGCCTGGTACTATGCCCAGGAAGCTTTCCGGATCCTTTTCATGAACGCACCGAGCGCCTCGTCGGACGGCCACCACCGCCCTTCCAAGCCAAAGATCCATCCGGATGTCGCCAAAGCCGTGCACGAGCTCACGGTCGCCGCGGAGGAGGCGCACAACGCGGACGCGATGTTCCTGCTCGCGGAGATGAACTTCTACGGCAACTTCACGCACTCGCGCGATTTCCCACGCGCCTTCCACTGGTACCAGGCACTGGCGTCCGCCACGGGCAACAGCACCGCCCAGTATATGCTGGGGTTCATGTACGGTACGGGCGTGGGCGGCGCCGTCGAGCGCGACCAGGCCAAGTCCCTCCTGTACCATACCTTTGCGGCGGAGGCCGGCAACACCCGCTCGGAGATGACGCTGGCGTATCGCCACCATCAGGGCGTCGGGGCCCCGCGCGACTGCGACCAGGCGACCTACTACTACAAGCAGGTGGCCGACAAGGCGATCGCGTATCTCCGGTCCGGCCCGCCGGGCGGCCAGAGCATGATCCGCGAGTCGTACCGGTGGGCGGACGAGGAAGGTGGCGTCTACGGTGAGGGCGCAAGTGTGTCGACGGCGGGGCTGCGGGATTCAGCGCATTCGGGGGCTGACGCGAATTTGGAGGATGTTCTGGAGTATCTGGATCTGATGTCACGCAAGGGCGAGCTGAAGGCTACGTTCAGCCTGGGCAAGATGTACTACGAGGGCGGGCGGGGCCTGCCGCGCAATTTCCGCCGGGCGATGCGGTATTTCAAGCAGGTCACGCGGCGGTATTGGAATCAGGATGGCTCCGTGAACCCCAATCACCCCCAGGGAATCGAGAAGTTGGCGGCGAAGGCGGCGGGCCATGTTGGGCTGATGTATCTGCGTGGGGAAGGCGTGGAGCAGAATTTCGCGACGGCGTCCAGCTGGTTCCGCCGTGGACTGGCCAACGGCGACGCGCTGTGTCAGCACGAACTCGGCCTGATGTACCTGCATGGGTACGGCGTGACGCCGGACGCCTTCCGGGCGGCCTCGTACTTCCGGTCGGCGGCGGACCAGGACTTTCCGGCGGCCGAGACGAGACTGGGCGCTCTGTTCTTGGACCAAGGGGATGTGCCGACTGCCACCAAGTACTTTGAGCTGGCGGCCCGGTGGGGGTCGATGGAGGCGTTCTATTATCTCGCCGAATTGTCCAACAACGGGGTCGGCCGGAAGCGGCACTGCGCGATGGCGGCCTCGTATTACAAGATGGTGGCGGAGCGAGCGGAGGCCATCCATTCTTCGTTCGAGGAGGCCAACACGGCGTATGAGAGCGGGGACAAGGAGCGGGCGCTCATCCCCGCGATGATGGCGGCGGAACAGGGCTACGAGCACGCGCAGTCGAATGTGGCGTTCCTCCTGGATGAGCAGCGCTCGCTGGTCTCGTTGGATTCGATCCTCCCGGGCGCAGCCAAGAAGAGTCGACCAGCCTTACTCCGCAACGCCGCGCTGGCGCTAATCTACTGGACGCGGTCGGCCAAGCAAGCGAACATCGACTCCCTGATCAAGATGGGCGACTACTATCTTAGTGGCACGGGCATCGCGGCGGACGCCGAGAAGGCCTCGACCTGCTACCACACCGCCGCGGAAGCCCACTACAGTGCTCAAGCGTACTGGAATCTGGGGTGGATGCACGAGAACGGGGTGGCGGTCGACCAGGACTTCCACATGGCGAAGCGGTACTACGATCTGGCGTTGGAGACCAGCCCGGAGGCTTATTTGCCGGTGAAGCTGAGTCTGTTGAAGTTGCGGATGCGGGGATACTGGAATTGGCTGACGAATGGGGATATCAATCCCATTCAAGAAGAAGAGGGTACGTTTTGAACTCACACCACTTGCCCCCGATAGGAAAAAAAAACCGCTCGATGTAGTTGACACGAAACCACAAACGCAGCAGCCAAACCCCACCGCACCTTCAAGGAGTGGATCGCCGCGTTCATTGAAAATGACGAAGAAGAGGAGGCCAATTACCGCGCGCAGCTGTACAAGCGGGGTGAGGACGAGGAGGACGATCTGATGTCGGCGGGGCGCGGGCTGGACGAGCGCCATAACCACGATGATGGTTACTATGATGATTTGGAGTTGGATATAGATGAGAGCGTGCTGGAGGGGTTGATCATCGTGGGGTTGGCAGCGACTCTGTTGATCCTGGTGTACATGCGACAGCAGCGGAATCGCCAGAGACAGGACGGCGGGAATCAGGCTGTGGCTGGTGGAGGCAACCGCAATGGGAATGGGGTTGGAAATGGCAACGGGGTGGGCAATGGGAACGGATTCGGCGATCGAGGGTTCTTCCCTCGACCTGGGGATCCAGAGTTCGCGCAATGGGCGGCGGGGGGAGTGGGCCATTAGATTAGTTGGTTGGCGATGAAGAAACTGTAGTAGTAGTTTAGATGTGCAAAGGGTGCCTGAGCATGTGACTCCGGCTTATCGATAAGAGCAGCAGCTTTATCGCTCTGTCTGCTCTCGTCCTTGATCTCCAACTGAACTAACTTCATGATTGAGACTGAGCATGTTGAGACATTGCAATTCTTCTGCTACGCTTCTCAGTTGACTCAATACTAGATCCTCCAACAGACTACACCTAGTCCAGTTCAATATAAAGAGGAAGATGAGCAGCACGCACAAACGTCGTCGCCTCAACCCCTCACCGTCCGCCACCTTAACCAAGCCATTCAAGTCCCCGCTCCGCAGACCTGCTCCTGCCACAGAAAATCCACATGAGGCGGTGACTGGTAGTCCGACACTGAACACTGTAACTTCGGCGAAGGGCATGTTTCCCCCGTGGGGTGGTTGTCTAATGCACGCGAGCTAACGGCATCGCTCGGCTATAGATGCAGGTACAGCTGCAGGAACAGATTCAGGTACGGACAGCCCACACCGGCTACAGCATCAAGCCGTCCATATACTCACAGAATTGTTCTAATAACTCCGTTCCCAGCAACTGGCGCCGTCACAGCTACCACTACAATTACCGCAACCTCAACCTCAACTCCACGCCCCCAAAACCAGGCACGTACAGTCCCCCACCTGCTCTCGCGAACCCCGGCGCCGTCCGTGACCGAAAACTAACTCATCTACCTCCCCCAGCAGCAAAAACAACAACAACAACAGTCCAGCCCCAACCCAGACAGCACAACCCCCACCCCCATCAAACCTTCATCTCAATCACGCCCACGTCCACGCTCACGCCCACTTACCCTCACCGCACCCCGCACACCCCGCACACCCCAAAAACCCACCCCCCTCTCCGCCTCCTCCTCCCCCCCAACAACCGAGCTCTCCGCCCTAACCACCCAAAAAGCCACGCTCCTCGCGCACCTTCACGCCCTGACCGCTGAGCACGACACCCTCCAACAAGCCCGCCGCATCGAGACACAACACAAGACCGTCGAGCTGGAGCGGCTGATCCACAAGTGGAAGGGGATCAGCCAGCGCGCTGCGGAGGAGGTGTTCCTTGGGGCGAGGGAGCGGGTGAGCCGGATGGGGGGGTTACAGGTTCTGAAGGCCGGGGCGGGGTCTTGGGGGTGGGATTGTGAGGATCAGGATCCTTCTGCTGGGTTGCAGGGGCGCGGGCGGAGCTGGGAGGGGGATTTTGGGGATGGGAAGGGGGGTCAGGGGCAGGGTCATGATGACGGTGACGGGGAGGAGCAGGTTCGTTTACGCTTTTCTTTGATCCTGTTTTTCCCTTGCTGGTGGGCTGGGGAGAGTTGGTTGGTTGGTTGTGCTGGTGCTGACGCTGACGATGGCAGGAGCTTACGATGGAGGTTATGTTGAAGATGATGAAGATTGATTTCGGGGTTATTGGGTATGATGTTGAGAGAGAGGGGTGGGGTACTTAGGTTCGGGTGGTGTACTCGAGGTGTGGTGGATTGGTTTGAAGTATGCTCAAGATGTGGGTTCTGTTCGGGTTATGTTATCATGGGATGACCTGGTGTAAGTGGTAGGTTTGTTGATTGGGCTGTAAGGCTCCTCTATGCGGGTTTCTGATCTCAAGCAGGTTCATAGTCGATGCATTTTTATCATGATTCTGTGATTGAAATGCATGAGGGCACTTCTTAGCTATCAGAAAGCGATATTGCATATGCCAATCACTGGTACATATATCTTATCCTGCTATTGAGATGAGCAGCTACTCCTCGATATACTGCTCGAAGATCTTCCCAATCTGTTTGGCACTCTCCTTCGGGAGGCGCTTCTGCCCATTCTCATAATCCACATAAGTTACGCCGAATCGAGTCTCGTACCCCTCGGCCCACTCGAAGTTACTGCGCAGCAAAGTCAGCAAGCCAACCCCAATCCACCAGACCAGACAGAGAACTTACTCCATCAAACTCCACGCCATGTACGCGCGCACATCCACCCCATCCAGCGTATACGCATCCGCCATGGCGGCGATATAGTCCCGGAAATACTGCACGCGGAACTCATCCCGCAGCAGCTGGTCCACGGGCAGATCGTTCTCCCCCTTGAGACTCGTGCCATTCTCCGTGACATAGATCTTCGGCTGCCCGTAGCGGTCGCTCAGCCACTTGAGCAGTTTCCGGAACCCAAGGGCGCACGGCCGCAGCCACGCCGACTGGGTCTCGGGGCCGATCCACTCGCCCGCCTTGTTCTGCAGCAGGATCTCCAGGTTGCCGGCGGTGTCGGTGGGATCGGGCTCGCCGGTCTTGGCCTTGATGTAGTTGGCGCAGTAGTGGTTCATGCCGTAGAAGTCGTTGCTGCCGTGCACGAGGGCGCGGTCCTCGGCGGTCCACGCGGGCAGCCGGTCGCCCAGCTGCTGCACCATGCTGTCCGGGTACTTGCCGTGGTAGATGGGGTCGGCGAACCAGGAGATGGCGAATTCGATCTTGCGGGTGCACGCCTCCACGTCCGCCGGGTTGGCCGGGTCCCAGGGTTCGGCCCAGTCACCTGTCGCGGTGGCATCAGCATCAGCATCAGCCTCCCTTCACTTCCCTTTCCTTCCCCTCCCCTCACCCTCACCAGAAAACGGGAAGGAACCAACCATTCAGCGTAATCCCAATCTCCCCGCCATCCCTGCCCTTAAACTCCTCCCGATACACCTTCACGGCCGCCCCATGCGCCACGAGCAGATTATGCCCGACGATCCAGGGCTCGCGCGCCCCATCCCCGACGCTGCTCTTGGCGCGGTCGCTCGTGCGGCCCGGCGCGAACTGCCCGACGTTGTACCCGAGCACCGCGCTGCACCACGGCTCGTTGAAGGTGATCCAGTGCTTGACACGGGCGCCGAACGCCTCGAACAGCACCCGCGCGTAGCGCGTGAAGTCCGCCACGAACTCCTCTTTGTTCAGCAGCCCGCCGTACCGCTTGTCCAGCTCGTCCGGCAGGTCCCAGTGGTACAGGGTCACCAGCGGGACGATGCCGGCGGCGTGGAGCGCGTCGATGAAGGCGCTGTAGTGGTCGATGCCCTTTTGGTTGATGGGGTCGTTGCGGCCGCCGAGGGGGATGATTCGGGACCTGTTATTAAGGAAGGGTTAATTGGGGTGCTGATTAAACTGTGGAGGGGGGGGGGGGTACGATCTTGACAAGGGAGGTTTGGAGAGTGGATGGTCGTGGGGATGTTGCCGGGCCAGCGATGGGGAGTGTTGTGAAAGCCTGGGGGAGAGAGGGAGGGCTGGCTCACCATGAAATCGAAAATCGGTACGCCTTGGCCCCGCATTGCTTCAGCAGGGCAATATCCTCGTCCACCCGGTGGTACGAGTCGCACGCCACGCCGCCGTTCGACCCGTCGGCGATTTTGCCGGGGATCTTGCAGAAGGTGTCCCAGATCGACGGGCCGCGGCCGTCCTCGGCGACGGCGCCCTCGATTTGGTAGCTGGGGCAGGCGATTCGTTAGTTTGATTCTATTGCATGGGGATGGGTGAAGAACAAGACGGACCTGGCGGTGGCGAAGCCCCAGAGAAAGTCTTTGGGAAGGGTGGAGGCGCCTGCTGAACCCATGGTGGTTTGGTTTGGTTTGGTGGTGTACAGTACAAGGAAGTATAAAGAGGGGAGGGGGAAGAGTTTGGAGAGTAAAAGCTCCCCGCGCAGTTCATAAGGCGTATTTATAGATGGATCACCCCATGATGAGAGGGGTCACGGTGACCGGAGGCACGGGCAGGATCCAGCATTGATCCAACCAGAGCATTGTGTCTGTCTGATGCCGAGACAAACGACAGAAGCGAGGGTTGGAAGAATGGAACAAACAGTGCCTTCGAGTCTTTCCCACGCGGGGTCGAAGTCCGGCTAAACGGACCGATCCCCGAACTCTATCGGGCTAAGCGCCCCATTTGTATTGTACACAGGATGTACCTTATGGTACCTGATGGTATCAACCCATTCAGAATAAGCCTGCATAACTCTTTTGAATACTAAATCACAAAATGACCATCAGTCTGGAAAACTCCTAGTAAATGCTCCTCCCATCCCAATCTGATCACATGCGCCGTGCCAAGAAGCTGAAAAAAAAAGTAACAGAATAATAGGTCACAAGAAGTAAATCGAGATAAAGGAAAAACAACCCCCAGATCCTATCCTAACGCCTTGTTGAACGGCGACCACACTGAGTATCAGATAATCTCCATTGTGTCCATGTCTTCACCTTCAAACTCATCCGCATTCTCAGCAGCAACCCCGCCACCCAGCAGCTGGGATGGTTTCAGGTCTTTGTGTAGCCCCTCGCCCAGCGACCCAACCAGCTCCAATTCCGGCCCCGCAATAATGCGCCCTTCCATATCAACCACTTCGCAGAGATCGATGATGCTCTGACGACTGAGAGACTTGAACCCGTCAGTACGGACAACACGACCCCAGTGGCTGAGACAGAACTGAGCCGCACGCCGCATCAGCCATGACTCGTTCGTTCGACCCGCCCGCTCCCAAATGATCGCGGCGTTTTCCACATCGAGCTCTCGGCTCAAGCGGTTGACACATAGCAGACGCAGCTTGGGCATGTCGTACAGGTTAGCCATCACCAGCATTCCGGCGACGTCAATGATGTCGGAACAATACTCCGGGTGCCCCGCAATGCTATCAGTATACAGGTAGTAGATGAAGGCACGAACAACCGAGTAGGGCTCAGGGATGTGCATCCGCTTTGAGTGGTACTCGGCCATTTGGGCGGAGTAGAGTCTCTTGAAGTGCGGCCACCGCAGCTGCAAAATGATCCGGTGCACGTGAATGGGTGGAGAGGTGGCCGCGTTGGGCGAGAGAAACGCAGGCTCAGTCTGTGGATCAGAGTTGTCTTCCGAAGCATCATCCATTTCGAGGTGATCGGTGGGGTTAGCAGTAATGACAAAGTCAGCTCCACTACCGGACTCGGGTGGTTGATCGAACACGGCGGCGAGATCATGACCTATGCCAGATAGGGGCATGGATCCGGTCTGGTCATCCATGTGCATTCTGTTTGGGTTAGGCGAGAAGGCAGACATTTCGTTGCCCAGCAAACCGTATCTTTCTAGGTCAATGCAAAGCACTTCACTCATGTGATTCTCATCGCTAGCCCCTGGGTTAGATCCGGCGTCGAGACTACAGCCAAGCAGCCAAGCTTTGGTACCACTGGCATTGACGGTGCAGTAGTGCCATCTATACCCAGGCTTGAAGATCTCTTGGCCATCGGCGAGTCGCTGCCAGCGCAGCGAGTCAAGTTCCAACGAGGATAGGTTGCATTCATACGTGCGGACGGTCTCGGAGGGCGTGATCAGGTCAAGGAGAACTCCTGATGCGTACGACTGAAAATGGGTTCCAGAGAAAAGGGCGGGAACATGAGGGCCAGATTGGAAACGCAGACACGAAACGGCTCCTGGAGCATTCGGCTTTCGTCGAGTTGAGGTCCTAGACTGGGTTCGGATCTGCACGCTGCCGGAGTTCGCCGCATAGTTGCTGGACCGGCCGGCAAGCTGTTGCGGGGGGCTACTAAACATAGTGTCTGGACTATAAGTCATCCTGTTGGCGGTCGTTGGGGATTCCACGGTACCTTGCGAAGTCGCCATTCCAAGAGATTGCATGTCTTTGAGATCCAGCCACCAGATATCCGTTGTCCGTTCCATGTTGGGGTCCAGACCTCCAAAGATCCAGAGACGACCGCCCCAGACCCAGGCAATATGGTCAAAGCGGGCGGTGAATGCCCAAGTGCGAGACCAGGTCCAAGTTTTGAGATCCAAGTAGCAGAGCTCATCGAGAATGACGTTGTTCTCGCCTGTCACGCCCCCAATGATGAATAGCTTCTCGTCGTAAATCACCGCTGCATGGCGAGCCCTTCCTCGCGGGATTGGTCCACGGATTTCCGGCTGGGTCCAGTTCGAGGTGGGGATATCGAGAATGACAACATCGGAAAGGTACTCGCGGTGCTCGTTTTCTCCACCGAAAACAATCAGCTTGTCGCCTTGGTACAGACTAGCCGTATGACCTGTAGGTAATGGAAAAAAACATAAGTATGTACAGCCGTTTGGTGAAACATCTAACGGAGTGCGGGGGAGCTAACCCATGCGAACACCGGGAATATCCCCATAGTTATCCACCAATTCCCAGCGAAGTGTGCTCAGATTCAAGCGGAGAACATGGTTATAGACTATCCCAGCCAGACGTGGTGATTAGCATAGAGACACAAATTATCTGACGGGAAATGGAAATGACAACCTTCATCGGTGTACTGGTCGAAGCCACCGAAAGCGTAGATCTGGTCATTATTGCAGTACGTCACCGACGCATTGACCAGGCACGCCGGCACATGGCCCTGTGCCTTGCGGATGCTCGGGCGGTAGTCCTCACTCCCGCGACGATCACCACTGCCACTCGGACTCGGTGGCATAAGGAAAGTATTCTGTGATCTTTGAGAAGTACTTGTCGGTGGAAGAGAAGCCATTTGGCTGGCAATTTGGGACCAAGGCAGTGGGTCGCCGGAGGACGAAGAAGCGTTACTATTCCGAGCGATAGTGGAGGACGGTTGCCGCGCCATCGGGGCACCGATAAGGATAGGAGACCTCGGTCTGATAAGGACGGTGGAGAGACAGCACTACCGATCAGCAGCGATGGAATCTTTACTGCTAGGTGAATACCAACTCAACTCGGTTTGAATCAGAATCTCATGGTCGATCAGTCGGAGAGACAAGCACCGTTGAAACACTTTCCCAAAGATGAAGACGGAAAGTTCCGAAGAAAGTCTGGAGACGGAAAAAGTTGACGCTGACCGCCAAGACCCGGTCGATGCCTGATTGGGATCAGCCGCATGTCAGGTGCTCGCCACCCCGCATTGGGACTAGCGCAGTCGTACCTCCAGTAACCGGTGGTTGCCATGGGAAAGCAGAACTATACGCTTTATTTATTCCTCTCCCCTGGATCCTCTTCAATTCTCAAATCTCCCTCCCTCCTCTTCTCCCTCCATCTTCCTGTTTCTCTTGTCTATCTGCTATTTGCTATATATTCTGCTGCATTCTATACTGCATTAGCTTCACTTTTCGACCTCCTCAGCCTGTCAGTCCAAGCCAGTAGTCGACTGCAATTGGCGTCACTACCGGAGCTTGAAGACCTGGTCTCCGTTGCATTGTTCGCACAATAACTATATATCAACATGGCTACTCCTACAGTTTCTACTCCCGTGAAGACTCACCATGGGATCTTCTCCACAAAGACTGCCGGTGGCCGCATGCCTCTGACGCCGTCTCCGCGCAGACGGGACAGTGTGGCTTCGAACCACTCCTCCCCTTTCACTCCCCAATGCGGAACTGGTGAGGCTGGCAAAGAGTTTGGCAAGTCTGTCTACGGCGGCAATCTCTCCTCATACTTTGCCAAGTCAGTCTCCAAGCCGACACGCAAGTACCGCGAATCTCCCAAATCCAACCTCTCCACCTCTCGCAGCTACCGGGAGTCTCCCAAGTCCAACATCGCCCGTACACGTCCTCGCAAGTCCCCTAAACACCTTGAGCTAGGCGTTTCTGAGTGGGCTTTGACGGGTACTGGACCCTCTTCATCACAGACTCCGTCCAAGGAGCGACTACGCAAAGAAGTTACCCGCAAGGAAGTTACCCGCAAGGAAGTTCCTCGGGAGAAGGTTGCCCGCAAAGAAGAGATCCGGACGACCCGGACGACGAGGTCGGGAAAGACCACTGTTCGTATTGCGCATAATGCTGGCGACAGATTCATTCCTAACCGCACGGCCAGCGAAGGACTTGTGACTGCTGGAACAGCCAAGCCCGAGGAGAGCCAGCGCCCCAAGAGCACAAGCAGCGAGGGATCATCCGTTCTGGCGAACGCAGCAAGCGCCTTCGATATCGGTGGCCGCGGAAGCGAGGAAGATCTTACCGCAGCTCTCGAGAGCCTTGGAATCGATGACAGCGAGTCTACCACATCCTACACCAAGCCCGCACCTGATGCTGTTGCGTACGAATCCTCACTTGCAGATGCTTGCGGAGTGAACCTGAACACCCGAATTCTGGCTTTCAAGCCCCCGCCTCCTGAATCCTCTAAGCCTATTGATCTGCGTGCTCAGTACAACCGTCCTCTTAAATCTGCGAAGTCCCAATCCGCCCAGTTCCGCAGAAGAGTTCAAACGGCCCCTGAGCGTGTCCTTGATGCTCCTGGCCTGCTGGATGATTACTACCTTAACCTTTTGGACTGGAGCTCTGGCAATCAGGTTGCCATTGGCCTTGAGCGTAATGTTTACGTTTGGTCCGCCGAATCCGGAACGGTCAGTTGCTTGCTGGAGGCACCGTCTGACACTTACGTGAGCAGTGTCAAGTGGAGCGGAGATGGAGCTTACGTTGGCGTGGGCCTGGGTACCGGCGAGGTTCAGATCTGGGATGTCGAAGAAGGAACCAAGCTTCGCAGCATGTTCGGCCACGACTCTCGCGTCGGCGTTATGGGATGGTCCAAGCACACTCTTTCCACCGGCGCCCGCAGTGGTCTTGTCTTCAATCACGATGTTCGCATCGCCCAGCACAAGGTTGCCGAGCTGGTCTCGCACACCTCCGAAGTCTGTGGCTTGGAGTGGAGACCCGACGGTGCCCAGCTTGCGACGGGAGGTAACGACAACTTGGTCAACATCTGGGATGCTCGTTCCCTCAGTGCCCCCAAGTTCACCAAGACCAACCACCGCGCCGCCGTTAAGGCTCTCAGCTGGTGCCCCTGGCAGTTGAACTTACTCGCCACTGGTGGTGGTTCGTACGACCGCCATATCCACTTCTGGAACACCACCACTGGTGCGCGCACCAACAGTATCGATACTGGTTCCCAGGTCACCAGCTTGCGGTGGAGCAACCACTACCGCGAGATTGTCAGCTCGAGCGGCTTCCCCGACAACTCCCTCAGCATCTGGAGCTACCCGACTCTGGTCCGGAATGTAGAAATCCCTGCCCACGAGACTCGCGTGCTGCACAGTTGCTTGAGTCCCGACGGTCAACTTCTGGCCACCGCGGCCGCCGATGAGAGCTTGAAATTCTGGAAGATCTTCGAGCGCAAGCCCGGAACGAGCGCCGCGGCTTCCCGCGAGGGTGGTGTTGGCAGCAAGGCGCAGATGACCAAGTCCATGACCATCCGGTAGATCCGGTTTGCTCAGTTGTGATGACACTTGCTTTCTCGCTTTTTTTTCGGACTTCCTATATGTTCAACATTATGCGTTCTATATCGTAGACCGGCGTTTGTCTCGATACCACTTGCTTTTCTTGATGGAGTTTTGTCTTTTTGTGTGTACAGCGGATCTTCAATGGTGTGATGGAGTTTGAGTGGTGACTGGAAGGACAAGGCGCTGTGATTTAGGATGTTTGTCTTGTCTTGTCTTCGGTGCTTCAGGTTCTTGTATAGATATTGGTGATCAATAACAACCCTTTTTAATCATGATCCTACTGCTTTGTGGTTTAGATCCTGTTCAATCAAGGTTTCCATCATCAGAGTGAAACTTAGGGAGAAGTGCTATTCTAGTCAACCCGTCTAGTCGCTGCTTCAATAATCTGGCTGGATCGTGCATCTTTTTGTCTGCTGCGCGCGTTATCGATCTGCAGTAGTAAGAGGTACAGTTTCCTGAGGTATAATGTTCCTGTGATTTAGCCTTCACCTCCAGACTAGTTGATTTGTGAAGAAGGCTGAAGTAGGTCTACTACCTTTAGGTATGCGTGGAGTGCTGATTACCTAGCTGAGACTTTTCCCTTGATCCACTGGATCGTTTGGCTGCTACCCGCGTGACTTGAGCTTAAGGTTCCCTGGAGTGCAGGAGGACAGGAGGACAGGAGGGAGGTTGCTTTTAGTGAACAGGTCACTTCACAGAGTGCTTGAAAAGATGGAGGTACTATCTGATGCTGAAATTACTGCTGCCGGTGTCATATAGCAGGAGCCGCGTAGATAACTTCCCTAAATGGGAAACTGTTCCAATGTAGGTGCGCTTACTAGGTAAGCTTCCTGAGTACCTCAGGTACCTAGTACTCCAAGCCTGGTCCGTATCTATCACTATCTACGTGACTACGTAGTTACCCCCGTGAGTCAGCGTACGTAACTTACCTAGCATGTGACGCTTTCCCCGGCGGGATATAAAAAGGCATCCATCCAACTTCTCCCTTCCGCCACCTTTCTTTCCTGATCCTCAGCCCTGTTCTTTTCCTTTTTGGACTGTGATGATGATATACTGCGACACACAGAGACTGTACCAATCGAGCTGCAAAACTCGGAAAGGAACGTCCTGCCGGTAGTCTGAGTCCTGAGCCCCGAGTCTACGGAGATGGGAGTAGTGGTATAGAGAGTACGAGAAGGCCCAAGGGGAGAATATATATGCTATTACTTGCTCTGGACGGATACTTTTTTCCTCGAACACAGGTAGTACTACTCCAAGGCGGAAGGTGTTCAACATCAATCATTTCCAGTATTGAATACGTCATCAGGATGTACGGTCAGTACAGTATCTGAGTTTCTATAGATGTTGTCTTACCCCCGGTCGATAGCGAGGAGGGTCTAGTCTCATAATCATATTTCCTCTAAGATCAATCAATGCCCTGGGGTCCTGAGTCCGCCTAGAAACTGTTACTTGCTCGCAGAGGGTATATAACTGGGGGAATAATAATCCGTAATATATTCTTATCTTGATATAATTCATTTTTGGTATAGGGTGTAGGTGTGGCAAAGATGCGGCGGGCTTAGGACTCTTAGGTAGAGTACCTTCTTGAAACCAAGTCTTGACGAAAGGCACAAACGAAGCCAGAGAAGCAGGCATCAATGCTTTTGAAATCAAGCTGCTGATGTAGAGCATCGATGCTTTGACTCTGATGATTGATTGAAGCATGCGAGATTGATGGCGGTCTCCGCAGCGGGAATGAGAGATTGACGGCGAGGTAACCGACTTCCTTGATCTCGCATGACCTATGAGACCTAGTCGGTGATCCTCACGTCCACGGATCCAGTGACATCTTTGATGTCACTCAAAATGTCATCAATATGTATAAAAAACACAACATTCTGACGTTCGAACGCGCCAAGCAGCATTCCGACGACCTCACCGTCTTCTCGGAAGATCCATGAGCCGGAATCGCCCAGCTCAGCAAAGGGCTTGTGGCCAGTCCCAGCAAGTGCGTGCTCGTAAGTCTCCATACTTACCCAGCTATTATTGCGGTCTTTGGTACGGGCAATTTTCACAGATCTAGCGCCGTTATAAAGACCCTGAGTCCACTGGGTTGAGCGACCTGACTTGTAGAGTTTCATGTCCGACTCGAGGAGGTTTCTGCCTTGGAAGTGACTGGCATTTCGGAGCTTGGCTCGCTCGGTGTACGGAAATGGCCGGAAAATGGCGAGCACAGGTCAGCAGGATTCTCGATAAACCGGTGGAGTCAATATAGGTTGTGTAGGATCGATACCTTGTTGAGGCCATGCCTGGTTCTCAAAGCGGATATCAACGCCCAGTCCATCGTTCCCAAGCCTTTTCTGCCCCCGTCGATGGTGCGTTCCTTGGTGCGATGCAGGCCGCTCCCTGCAACCACTTCTCCAAGATAGTTGCGTTTGCTGGAAAGAAATGTTTCGAACTTGGTGAGTCGGTGCTGGAATATCTCGATGCTTTTGAGGTTGTTCTCGTAGCGCTGTTTCTCTCTCGGCGTTACGAACGCATCTTCCCCTGCTCTCATAGCCCTGATGCGCGATTCTAAGTTCCGGAACCTATCACCCTTGATCTCATTCAAGACAGACTTTTCGGCATTAACCGCTTCCACAAGGTCACCGTTGCTGGGATGGTCTACTCTTAAGATTGTAGGCAGGTCCTGGTCGTTGAGGTTGGCTGGGCTCTGCTCCCAGCGAACGAAGCCTTGTTTTTTTTGATAATGTATTATTGTCAGTATGTCTTTGACACAGAAGAAGAGATATGACTAACCCTGCTTGGCCCCATCCATATGTTTAAGTGTTCCCCTATGCTGAAGTGGTGGGTGAACAGAGTGGAAGCATGTGAGATACAATGTTCTCCACTCTGAACCCGGATGCTGTTGCAGCTGTATGGCCCCTCCAAGTGTGGAAGACCCGGCAGAACTGTTGTGAATCCCTATACTGACACCTGGTAAAGCCGCGGCGTCACAAATCTCTATTGGCACCTGTGAAACGCCGCAGCACAGTTTCAGCTCATCCTTGAGAAACAAGATAGACACATCTCGCGCCTCGTACCGGGCACAGATGGCTTCGATTCGGTTTCTCTCAGTGTGGTATTCTCTGACCGAGTCGTACCGGATGGCGACAAGGATAGTTATCGGGTTGTCCGCCGGATTCGGTGAGCGCCCGTACCTCCAAAGGCCCAGTGATGTCCAGTCCCAAATGGAGCATTCGTGCAGGATTTGTTCTCTCATGGCAGGCCATTCAGCGAATAGGCGATGTGTCGCCTGCACGGGAGAGCAGCGGGGGAGCTTCTCCATGCTGGGATCAACTAGCTCTACGGAGACCCCGGCATGTAGGCTCGCCACATGCTGGTGGATTTGGCGAGCTACGCGTCTCCAATCCCGACTGTCGTGCGACTCTCGCTCAACATCAACGACAACGGTAGGGACGGCATAGGGTTCGGGGTTGATTTTGGACTGACGTCCGACGAGGGCAACGGTCTGGTAACCGATGCGCTCACTTCGGAGAATCTTTCTGACATCCTCCTCCAGCCTTTCGGTGTCTTCGAGAAGAGCCAACCGAGCTGCAGGGCTCCCTGCCCCGGCGGCTGTAGTGAGCGAAGCGGAGGTGGCCGGTAAGGAGCATAGATACGGGCCGCCAGCACGGTACAGGGACGTGAAGAATCCTGGCGAATCGGTTTCCGAGTTGGTATCAAACAGGGACTCTGCACCGTAGGAAGAACTATAGCTGAGGCAATGCTCGCTTGTGCGAGAGAAAATCTCCGAGGTGGAAGATGTTGACGTCATGTAAAGGTGTGAGGCGGAAAAAGGGATCAAACTGAAGCTCAACTCAAAGATTAAATATGTCTGACAATGATTCTGAGTGACCATCAAGCACAAGGTGATGGAGTACTCAAAAGTGATTGTCACCAGAGACAAAGGGCATAACGGGCCAGCGTGAGTCATTCGCTATATCATTCCTATATCATCATCATTCCTATATCATCATACACTACACCCTCAAAGTGGTGAATCGCAATGGATCAATCATCTACTCCCCCAGTGAAAGGCTTGGGTATGATAACACAACCCACCAGTAAAGGATTAATGCAGGCTGTGATCTTGGTTTTGGTTTTCTTGGGATTTCCCCCCCCCCTTTTTTCAAGCACATTAGAAATTATCTCCCACCTCCCATGCTGAACCTGCCTTTTCTTTTTGCTGTAAGACATTCCAAGATTGTTATTGGTCTGAGAAGCTCACCGCCCTCTACCGCTTGGTGTACTGTACTAGGTATGCACTGAAGCAAAATGCATAGCTAAAGAAGAAAAATGAGAGCGGTAAGTATGTAAAAACCAGTAGAAAGAAGATTCTTGAAATGGTGATCTTGAAGCTATTCCTAGCGCGCCATAAGACATGAGGTTCGTCAAATGGATTCGAGGTACTAGGTAGTCAACACCGGATCCCCAATAGGTTGGAAACGTATAACTAATTCCTAGATCCTCGCACCTGCCCCCGCAATACTCAACTCCGAAGGCTACGAGTACTGCGTCATATAAGATATAGCCCTACTCGCCTCAGAACGCTGTATCGATACATAGGTCCCAGTCGTTCAATAGAAGATCCCATTGTATATCATCGATTTCCGGGGCCACGGCAAACAGATCAGACCATAACTGACCCCAGCTTTCCTCCTCAGCTGTATTAGTAGCCGCGGCATCCTGCGTCATGAACTCATTCCCCATAATCGTATTATCATTAAAGTGTAGAGGTTGTGCATCTGCTTCAGCAGCGCTTACCCTCCTAGTCGCCTCTCCTTGTGAGAATTGACTAGAAGATGTATTGAATGCGCCTCCTTGGGACGTCGGCAAAACATGAGACATCGCACCCGGATTGGCTCTCAGGGGCTGTTGTTGCTCCTTTTGCGTGCTCTGGAGAATCGACATTAAGGTCTGAGTATTCCTCTGGATCGCTTCAGTCAGGCTCGTTGACAGGCGCTGCGATTGCTCTAGCATCTTGCACGCTTCCAAAACATCCTGCTTCCTACGGTCCGCACCGGGACTCCCCGGGTTCATTGACACGTCCGAGGCTAGAACCATTGCGGCGAAGAATACATGTTGCATGACCATCCAATAATTGGAGGGCTTCATGCCGACAGTAGAGCTGGCTTCGTCCATTGTGCGGCGAAGATCAAGGATCCGCTGAGCGAAGTGGAGACACGCCTGGCGGGAATACGCAAACCGAGGGTTTACAGAGGCTTCACGATGATACGGGCGGTGGAGGCGGCAGATGCGCGTGTAGATGCCTAAATGGCCCACAATGCGCTGCCAGGCGAGGTATGGTCGCTCCATGATGATCTCACGGCTCTGCTGGACATGTTCCGGGTCCAGCCGGAGAAACTTCGGCATGGAATCGAGGACGTTGTGCAGTTTGCGGTCTAGATCAAGGACTATATCGTATTCAGGCATCTCGTTTTCGCCTAAGAACATAGAGGAGAAGGCGTCAACGATCTGCCGGCAGATCTCGGCAAACTGAACACGCAAGATGAAGACGGACATGGATGTTGGGGTGGTAAGGGGCAACCCGCAGTCTGGCCCACTAGTCGCCAGGGACTCGTCGTCAACATTACTTGGTAGGTTAACTCTCATGTGTTTTGGGTGTAGTAAGTATGAGCCCTCTTGTGGCCCTTGAGAAAGTGATACTATCCTGCACGACCGTTAGTGCCAACAGTTTTAAGCATGCGCTATAATAGAATTCACCAGTCGGATGACACGATATGCCACCATATTCGTCTCTGGACCTCGATTTCAACAATTTCGTACCCTGTGCGCTTCCTCTCTTCCTGACTTTTCGGAGAGTCCAGGCGATGAATCTGCATCGACCGTGCCATGAAGATTGCGCGCATAAGAAGAGCCTGCATCTTATCGGAGAACCCGTCTGCGTGTGTCAGAACGTGACATAGGGTCGTTATGGCGAGAAGAGCTACAGTTGACGGGGCTATGGGTCGCGAAGGATAATCTAGCATGGTCATAGCAAGGCGTGTGAAAGTGGCGAAGGCAGTTCTAGCCTCTTTCTCTGTCGCTTTGAGACTTTCTAGGAGCTCAGACGTCACAACAAGAGTGCTACCGGCATATATGCTTAAGAGCAGAGTGACCACACTAAAGTTCGGTTCCGTGCCCTCAGATATGTCCCGGTAGGTCTCCTCCATCAGAACCCGCACAGATGGTATATGGAGAACACCAAAAGTCGGTTGAATAGCTCGTACGAATTGGTCGAAAAGTAGCCGTGCTTGTTCCACTGGGGGAAGACATTCAACGATTCGCCTCGGGTCTTGCATACAGTCGTCGAATTCGACAATCTGTTCTCGTAATGCTGAAGAAGATAGCTTGGCGAAAGAGGTGCCTCCTCCACCTTTTCCATGCTGGATCCAACAATGTTTCAGCTAACTGTGTGAAAGATCTGATGACCTGTACATACGTTATTAGTCCTAAAGCCAGAGGCTCTGGAACCTAGGTCGATTGGAGCTGGTCTCTGTTTATGTGTCAGAGTAAGTACGGAACACAAGGATGCGCCCTGATCACTTACACTCGTGTCATGTGTGGTCGAACCTTTGCCAAATACTGCCTCTTCTAGCTTACGTATTCGATCCACTAGACCAAAGGATTCCTCATGGTTGAAGTGGAGGCTTGGTGCGGTATCGCCTTCTGTTTGGGATACAGACAGCGGCGACATCACAGGGCCAGCAGGTGAATCGCTAGCTGTACCATGTCTTGCTGAGTAAGTGGGGAGACCTTGCGGATCTAGCCCGGAGTTAAACTGGCAGTAGACTTTCCGTAGCTTGCAGTTGTTACAAGGGTGTTTGCGATCACATCGCCATTTCTTTTGACGGCAATTCTGGCATGATAGCCGGGGCTGTGGAGTCAATCGCTGCACCATAGTATGGGGCACAGCATCATGTTTTCGTTTATTGGTAGACATCCTGTGATTGGTCCGGTTGCCGTGATATACGTATCAAGTATAGCGTGTCCCTGCCAGGGAATCGGAGACTGGACTGGAACTGGAAGCATTGCGATAAGGATCAAGACTCAGTAGATGGAGAGTGGAGAGGGACGAGAGAGCTGTCCCAATACGGCTGGCGGCTCCGCAACCCGCGGGCGGTTCCTCTACCTTGCCGAATACGGGAAAGCCCCCCGCGGAGCAGTTTGTGCGAGTATGAAGAATGAAACTGCCTGCTCTTTGGCCAGGCCTACCTTACCTTAAGTTCTCTATGGTCCAATAGTTATCTGGATGCTAGCTAGGCATTTCCTCGGCATGATTCATCGATTAGAGTGAGCAGAATGAGAAGAGCCCTGTAGGAAGGTATTACCAGAATGAGTGGCTTTGATATACAATGAAAAACGGTATGCTAGAAGTTCTCAATTATTCCTGGTGTCTTTTAGTGAAAAACAGTTACTTGAGAGTTAAGATATGAATCTAATAAGACGCAGTGGCGATAATTGCTAAGAAAGGCTAAGAAATGGTAGGGACTCCCCCGGAGAACCCTTGACGGGACTAACTTAGCGGAGGGGGTGACTAAGCAGGCGGGAAGAGAGGCGGATTTCGCCCGGGGAGAGCGACTTTCACCTCAACCACATCCCTCTGGCACATTGACCATTCTTGTCACCGCCTGGCCCTTGACTCAAGCTCCTCCTCCATCTTTGCTTTTCTACCGCTCTACTGGTTCTGACAAGGCAAACGGTACTCTCACAAGATAGAACCACCCCGGCGAGGACGTGTTACTGTAGCGGGCGTTGGAGTTTCGACTGTCGCATGAGCCCTTGGCAAACAACCAACGACGCCTGCGACTGCGACGCTTCACCTCAGATAAGCCGGCTCTCTCACCCACGCCTTACTGTCGGGATATTCTAGAGTCCCACTCTCTCGTGTTCCACCGTCCTTTAGCAACTCTTCATTCTCTTCCTACTCTTCTCCGTTTTACCTAAAACCAGACAAAGATCCTCTGCGAGGTCCTGCCCCGGCGACCATGTCAAACCAGCAGGTGGTGAGTATTTGTCCGATCTACCCCTACCTGGCTTGTGAGCTTTGTCGAGTATGGTGGCTATGCTTGCATGCCCTTGAATAGTCTCACAGCCTCACCACTTTCACAATGATATCTTCCTTTCCTTTTAAGATCGTTGGCTGATACCTGCCAACAGGGCACGGTGTTCGATCGTGTCATCCAGGAGGTTTGCGATGGCTCTCAGGTGGACTTTGAAGAAAGTGGAGTGGATCAACAGACGCTTCTAGATCTGCGCAAAGTGAGTGATAAATCCAGTTTATGAATTCTCCTTCGATGAAAAGCACAGAAAATGGGGATGGCATGCTCAGTGGAAGAAGGGGAAGGGGGTGTGTGATGAGGTTCCCAAGCGGGGCCCGAGAGGAGGTGCGGGAAAGGGCAGTGGATGCGCGGCTGGGGGGAACTGCTGGCTTTTGAGTCTCTTTTTATACCGCGCCGCTTTTACCCGCCCGTCGCCCTAGTTTGCCAAGCCCACCTTCTACTTCCTCGACTCCCTCCTCATTCCTGCCCTCTGACCCTCTTTACCCCGAATTTCCCCTCACCATACTTCTTTGATTCTCACGGCGCTGTCCTTGCTGGGAGTGCATCTCACTCAATACTACCGTCATCAACTCTGCATCATATTTATTTTCGCAATCCACTGACTTTCCCTATCGCAGAGCTGGCAGAAGAAACTATCTTCGTTGGGCGTCGCTCATTTCCCTTGGGATCCCCCACCACCGCAACAAGCCCCTCCTAGCCAAAACCAGCAACA